GGGTCGATTCTGGGATCGGTTCGGGGCTCGGTGTTCTCTACTGTATAGTCAGTTCGCAGTTTTGGTAGCGGATTCTCGGGCAGGGATCTTTCTTGTGTCGATCGTCCACTGCTGGTTGGATTTGTCTGCTCGCTGGGGGAGGGCTCCATTTTATTTCGTTGTTTTTCCTGTTTCTGTGTCTGTTTTATTTGTGTTTGTTTAAGTGTTTGTGATCGTGTTTTAGGTCTGGGCCGTTGGCCTCAGTGCATCCGAGTGTCAAATTTATTACTCCAATTGGGGTCCGACACTTCGGTATTACCCTGTGGGGGTCTTATCTAGTTGTTTTTGTTGTTTGTGTCGTTGTTTTATTACCCTTGCGACTCTTGTCTAGTTGTTTAGTGCGAGTTTTTCTTCCTAGCGGTTGCTAGCTGGGTTTGTAGGCGGTCTCCGGACCTGTCCTCCCACTTTTCAGCCGTTGGCTACTTGTATTCGCACATTTGTGCGCTTTTTATTTATAATAATTTCTATCGTTTTGGAAAAAAAAAAAAAAAAAAAATCCTAAAAGTCAGGAAGGTTATCTAGAGGATCATAATCAATTGGATTTCTTATGTTTTGCAAATTAAATCGCATCTACGAAGACAAGTTAAAAACTCGGGATTCTAAGAAAAAAAAAATACTTATGTTTTTTATTTATTTATTTATAATTTGGGTACATATGTATTCATTGTTCTACTAGTATATTTTTGGTCAATTCAAGCGGGATTAGATCAAACTATTGCGTAAATTATTATCTTTGTCATTATTATTAGATTTCATTGCAAGAAATATCACGATATTTTCATAAATTTCAGATTAGATCAAACTATTGCATAACCCGTGCGATGCACGGATTGTATTAATTTTGGAGAATATTATAAAAGAGTTATAATACGTAGAGAATTTATCAAATCATAAAATGTTCGTAATGAAAATATAATATATTATTAAAATTTTTCTTGTATACAACATTATTAGTTTGATACTTGACAACTCGTCGTCCCCACAAGATAATATTTTCAACCACTTTCTATTACATACATATGAAACAAAAACATATAGTTGGTCGTGACTTAAAATCAATTTTATTTAAGAGACGGTCAACGTGCAATAAAGGCGGACCCTAACTCATGTTTATGGTTGGGGCATTCGACAATAAGTTGGAACTGCTAGCGCTGGAACTTAAATGGAACCGTAAGATCGGAATGATTTACTTATGTCTAATAATTACTTGGCGAATCGACAAATGAGCCGTTAGTTTGTCATTTTAATATCGATTATACTTGATTAGTCAAATTAA